CGGCGCCATTGTCGTGATTTCCGTGATTTCCACGATCTCCGCCATTTGGAAATGGACCGTAATCCCTGCGCAGCATTTTTTTTTTTTAGCACAAAACTTCACACTTCAAGATCGTTTTCAAACGCGGAAACAAGGGAGAGTGAGAGAAAAATAGAGCCGAGAAAGTCTCTGAACGAGAGGCTTTGTTTTGATTTTCCCACTGTCACAGGGTTGTCCTCGTATTTCTCTCTCACTCTTCCTTGTTTCCGCGTTATCGAGAGAAGGGCCTGGACAGCTTGCCCACGGTTCATCGGGGCATTTTTGAAAACGATCTTGAAGTGTGAAGTTTTGTGCTAAAAAAATGCTGCGCAGGGATTACGGTCCATTTCCAAATGGCGGAGATCGTGGAAATCACGGAAATCACGACAATGGCGCCATCAAGGGGAACCGAAGCGCTCCCGGGTAAGTCTGTATAAATCGCAAATTTGTTATTTTTTTCGTTTTGCCATTTTTGGCGATGGATGAAGAAACGAAGATGAGCATCTTCAGGGTCAAAGCGGGGACGAACCTTCTTGATGAAAACTATTTAAATGAACTCTTAAAGTGAACTAAAGTTACTTCACTTTACTAGCCCAGTTCCATCTATTATCTTCAGTTATTACCTTGGGATTTCACACGGAATATTTATTTAGAGCTAAAACTTAACATATTGGTTGATGCATATATTATGTCACGCTCTAAGGGGGGAGGGGGGTCTAAGATTTTGTGACAAGCAATGCATTAGGTATAGGAAAAACGTGCGATAGGGGGGGGAGGGGGTAATTTTTTGCTCGATTTAGCGTGACATAATTAATGCATCGGCCCTATGCAGTATTACCAACACAACACGCTAAAAACTATTGATGATTTATAATCTACTCAGACTCATTTCTCGCGTCACTTTTCAAATAGACCAATGTAACATATCCACCATTTTGAGAAAATCGAAGTTGAAGTTCGACAGATTATTAATTTAACTATTTAAAAACAATACATTTTGCAATACTATTTTTAATGTAGCCAGTGTATAATAAAGTTGAAAATTCAGAAGAAACGGTAAAATCACAATTTTACTTTGAATTTCATGCTACAACATAGAAAAAACCACATAGGACGTTTTGACAAGTAGAGTTGTACATCGGACATGTTACATTGGACGATTTTTCTCAATGACATAATCAATGAGTGTTACATTGGACGTTTTGTCTACATGATACTAGATTCCCTTTCACAGATTTCAGAGTATACACAGCAAAAAAATAATTTTGATATCACATCAAAGTGGATGCACTACAATCATGTCGAAAATTTCATGTAATTTTTATGACCACATAAATAAACAAATGCAGTAAAAGCAGCGTAATGTCAGTTCATGCATTGTATTAATGATAATTTTGTCCTTTTTGGCAAGTAATATTACACCATATTTTCGACATGATTGTAGTGCATCCACTTTGACGTGATATTAAAATTATTTTTTTGCTGTGTAGTACCTAACTTTAGATTGGCCCCGCCTTTGAAAAATGAGCACCAATCATGTTAGGCAGTCCGAATGACCGAAGTAACAATCATATACCCATCATTTCAAACTGTACATTGGACAATTTTTTACCTATGATTATCTTAAATAAATGAAAGTGAATTTGTATGGATGTTTTTGTATGACATACAATGATAGAAGAGCAACAGTTTGTATCGCTTAACTCGGTTTGTTTACATTTGTTACATTGGTCGATTTGAAAAGTGACGTGAGATTTGTTATAGTCACTTTAACACTCTTGGCTGAGAGGAATATATTTCCCCCTGCTCAGACTAAAGGAAATACAAATTACAATCAAGAACCTTAACACGCAAAAGCTAAACCAACTCTATGATAATTCGTGCACTCGAATGAGCAAGGAATCAATTCGAGAAGTGAGTGAAGAAATATTCCCAGCATACCTACGAGTTTTTGTCGCACGTGAGATGAATTCACTATTTGACAATACCAGAAAAAGCAATTATTTGTGAATGTATCAAGAAAGTTATTCAAATGTCTCATGAATAATATTACTTGCAACAAATGTTAGGACAGTTCATCAAATGTTGCCTCCAATTCAAAAATGTCCATATAAAGGAAGTAATTGCTTTCCTCACCTTGTCATGCCAAAAAGAAACACAATGAATTGATCCAAACGAAAGCAACAAATTATTGATGTTTACTTGCCAAAAGTACGTCTAGCCATACGATTGTCTAGGCACGCACATATAGCAAACGCCCTTGAGTAACATTGCATCATACCATACACTTTTTTTTTGCTATTTGCATGTGCTTCTGCTGAGAGTCCCTTCTCGTGAATGGTTCAAACGCTTTCAATAAATGCTTTGGCCGATTAGCAACGGAATAATTACCAACACACTTGAGGCAGAGAAAGTCACTTTTACTCTTGAATTTGTTGTTTGTGCTCAAGCAATTGCAATTTAACCGTCAATATCAGTCACTTTATAGCAAATTGGGCAAAATTTGACATGGTGGTATGCATACTCCAAGCAGTATTAAATGATACTGATTCCACGGGACCCAAATTTAAAACGAAGTCGGTACATTTTCCAGTAACGACGGATTCTGTTGTTAATTATTTGAACAAAACTTTCCGAAGGCCTGACAACAACTTGAAATTTGACCACCTTCTTCTTCTTCTTCCTCGTATTTCAAGCTTATTGGTTATCGCATATTAGCTTATTGCGTGCTCTCAACTTAGTGTTTGGGATGCACTTCCACAGTTATTAATTGAGAGCTTTCGATGCCTGTGCCATGTTTGCATTAATATATTTGTGTGGTAAGTACAATCATACTAAAGGGTGATACGGTCAAAATTTGGTCAAGGGAAAACGCGTGTAAATCGGTGAAATCGTTTATTTAAAAAATCAAATTAAATTTCTTTTTCAAGTTCAATTAGTCTAAAATTCAGGAAAAATATTCAGTTAGGCTTCCGCTTTTCCAAATCCGAATTGCCGGGCCTTACGCTTGACCCCTGCCATCAGATTTTGTACAGCCACCTTGTCCACCTTCTTCGCCGCAGAAAGCCAGTTTGCCTTGAACTGCTGCTCGCCCTTAGCAGTTTTTTTGGTCTTCTTTAGGTTCCGCTTGACAATAGCCCAGTATTTCTCAATTGGGCGGAGCTCTGGCGTGTTGGGAGGGTTCTTGTCCTTGGGAACCACCTGCACGTTGTTGACGGCGTACCACTCCATGGCCTTTTTACCGTAATGGCAAGATGCCAAATCCGGCCAAAACAGTACGGAACAACCGTGTTTCTTCAGGAAAGGCAGCAGACGTTTATTCAAACACTCTTTCACGTAAATTTCTTAGTTGTCAGTCCCGGAAGCTATGAAAATGCTGCTTTTCAAGCCACAGGTACAGATGGCTTGCCAAACCAGATATTTCTTTGCGAACTTTGACAGTTTCATGTGCTTGAAAACATCTGCTACCTTTCCCCTTCCTTTTGCCGTATAAAACTCCTGTCCCGGAAGCTGCTTGTAGTCGGCTTTGACGTAGGTTTCGTCGTCCATTACCACGCAGTCAAACTTCGTCAGCATCGTCGTGTACAGCCTCCGGGATCGCGCTTTGGCCGTCGTATTTTGTTTATCATCGCGATTTGGAGTCACTACCTTCTTGTAAGTCGATAGTCCGGCTCGTTTTTTGGCTCGATGCACGGTTGTAGACGATACACCCAGCTTATTTGCGGCATCTCGGAGAGAGAGGTTAGGGTTTCGCTTGAAACTACCGGCAACTCTCTTTGTCGTCTCAGCGGCTTCCGGTTTTCGATTTCCCCCCGATCCAGACTTCCTGGCTGTCGACAAACGTTCCCCAAACACTTTAATAACATTTGTAACGGTTGATTTGGCAACTTTTAGCGATTTTGCCAACTTTGCGTGCGAGTAGCTCGGATTTTCGCGATGCGCGAGCAAAATTTTGATACGCTGCTCTTCTTGCTTGGACGGCATTTTGACAACTGAAGAGTGAATTCCAAAATCAAAATAGGAGCAACATTCTACACACACACACCTTCAAAATGAGGAGTGTACAGGTTTTTTATATGCAAAATTGAAAGAAATACGTCAAGTTGATATTGACCAAATTTTGACCGTATCACCCTTTATATGCCCAGAGAAGTCAAGAAATTTTCCATCCAGAAAAATTCCTAGACCGGACCGGGAATCGAACCCAGCTACCTCCAGCATGGTCTTACTTTGTAGCTGCGCCTTTACGGCTGAGCAGTGTTGGAAAAGTTCGCGATATTTCACGAAGTTCACCAAGGGAAAAGTTCGCGAGTCATAGTGAGTTTTCGCGAACTTTTCCATCACTGCGGCTGAGCTAGCGAAAAAAGATTAGTATACCGATTCGGCAAAAAATAATCCAGAATTTTCGGAATGCCCTCGTCACCACAATAAAATAATTACAGGTATACCTCGATATTACGTAACTGTCGCTTTTGACCGTCATCGTCCATGTCTCTCAAATAACAATTCAAACATATAAATCAACAATGGATGGAGGTTTGTCTCGACTTTCCGATGGAATCATTACTTTGCTTGATTAAATGATCGTTTGCGAGAAATCGGCGGTGGAAGTCAAAAGTGACAGTTACGTTATATCGAGGTATACCTGTACTGTTCGCAGTGGATGCATGTTGAGAATAGAGGGATAATCTAGGATGTTTGAAGCCATATCAATTTAATAAATAATTATGTAAAGACATTTACATGTAAAAGTTAAAAGAACGAGTCGATACTTTTCAATTTAACTTTATTGGATTTGTATCCATGGCAGTCATGCGTATGTTTTTTTATATACGTGTTTCTCTGACGTCATCAGTGTCCAGTCCACTGTTATATCCACCATTGACGCTGCATATCGTTGATAATATACGCTTATCTGTCATGGTTACAGATTCAATTGCATAAATTTCAAAATACATTCGTAAACAAAAACGGGTACTAACCTTCATAGAATGTGTAGAAATACTCGGTGCTATCGGTACACGTTCCCTATAACCAGAAACTGGGCTGTCTTGATCGGAACCGGGTGACCTCTGTTAAAATAAAAAAACAGTGGAATTGACAAGAACATCACCAGTTTGAGAAATGCAGGAAATTCAAAATGAATTTTAGTGAAAATTGCGTTCAAAGACAATAATGCTCAGCAGTACTCTTTAACTATGACAAGAAAAAAACATTTACCTATCTAATTCATTTTCATATAATTATAACTTACGACGAAAAGCCTGCCGATAACTCGATTTTAATTGCAATTATTACTAAATTTTGAATTTTCTTGACAGTAGAGAAATTGTTCATGGACAGGACAGGACAGGAGCTAGTGTGCCTCTTAATATAATATAACTATTTAATTTCATTGTGGTTATTGTGTTGAAAGTAAAATTGAATTGGAACATCGTTGGTTTGTAAAATCAATCAGATCATATGTAAACAAACTGTAGCATGTGCTCTTACATCGTACTGGTGATAGGAACCACGGTGATTGCTGGAGTAGTGCGATGCGTGCGAGGGTTGTGCTGGAGGGGAATAACTATCCCGATTCAGAGGACTTCGCTGTAGAGGGAAAGAGGTGATACGAAGGAAGAAACAAATAATAAAAAAAAATTAAAACCAGGAAAGCGAAGGGGGTATCGTACTATTAAAATTGCATAACATTTTTTTTTCTTGTTAGGTAATGTAGGTATCTGAATTGAGCTTGTAGGTAAGTGGAGCACCACTCTTGCAATCGGTCAAGCGGCAAGCGCTGTATTTTCCCTATTATGCAAGCTATCAACGATATTGAAGCAATCAAAGCAACGGGAGAATTGATTCGATTCACTATCTGTCACTTCATTCATTTCGTTTGTCATCGGGGTTGAACAGAACGTACAGGTGATTGATATCATATAACTGGGGCGAAGTTAATCATTGAGTGAGGTGGGGATCATCATTCATCGTCTAACATGATATGTTTGTTAGGGTGGATCAACTTTACAACCTCCTGCTCTTCTCATCACTGCTCTTTCGATCTGTATCCCCAAAAACTGCGGCAAATTTCAACAAATTTGATTTCGATCTGTATTTGTGGGAGAACTTTAAGGTTTGTATCCGAAAATGTATGGGAATCGAAAGAAAGAAACTTTTCATTTGCTTTAAAAAAAATCAAACATTACTCAATTTTGCTCCAACCTGAGACAAGATTGGGAAAACTATACAGCACAACAACCTACGCCTGTAGGTATGCCCTGAGCACTAGGCGAAAAGTAAAAAAATAATAACTTTTTGCACAAAAGTCGAATTGATTTGCGGTCTTCGACAAAGTTGGTGCTGATCGGACTCGATTATCCGGAGGCTTGGAAAAAAAATTCACTACGGATAATCGAATCACCCGAATAATCCAGTCATTTTTTTGTTTCGTTGCCGTTGGTAAGGACAGTTTAATAGATGATGAAAATTAATTAAATTTGGTTTATGTGCTCAAATTGAACGTTTTAATTACACGTTCGTTTTTTTTCTCGGAGTTTTTTATGCTAATTTGGCTATTAATCTGGGTAACATTTTCGACGATTGGACACTTCAAATTGGTTCTACACAGGACGGGACTAGTTTATGTCGATCCCCATCAAGCGAACCGTCTTTTATTGGAACTACAATGTAACAATTGCACGGATGCTTCCTGTAGATTCATTTGAACTAACTTGGTGAGATCGTATCTGATTTTATCTATTTAAACTAAATTTACATGATTCTCTTAAATTTGGCAAATTCTTAATGGAGTTTTCTCCACACATCCCATTTTTGTGTATTTGAAAACATCATTGAACGCCAAATGTCTGCACATTTCTGAACATATGGTGAAACATTACTGTAATTCATATATATTAAAACATTATATTATATACTGGGTTGGGGGGGGGGCAGCCTAAGGGAATCAAAGGATTTGTTGACTGGACGAGGGTTCGTGGATTTGCCAGTCCATTGCCATCTGGTCGTTTTGTCTTCCAAAGGTCTTCAATGAAACTGATTCACCCTGCTGCAACAAGGCAGAACTTTACAACCGGTAAAGTATTCATTTTTGACAAAACCTCGGAGCGAAACAACTTTGACGAAAACTGTAAATTGATTCGACTTCTAGAAATTTTTTTTATATCATGTTACTATAGACCATGTGCTCCACACATACCTATAGGTATACAAGCTCATATAGATGCCTGTAGGTATGCACGGAACACTTGACCTAAAGTGAAATAATATTAACTTTTTTCTCCCAGATGTCAAATCGATTTGCGATCTTAGACAAATTTGTTCTGCATTACCAATCTAAGTTCAAAGATTAGTCAAATTTGAGTTATTTTAGAATTTTTGAAAAGCAAATGAATAGTTTTGTTACATTTCCCATGATGGGAAAAGTGCTTTCCCTAAAACAGTTGCCGAATATTGATACCTAGCACGTAATCCTACGTCACGTCTACGGTCGTGTCTTGGAAACAACCTCGTAGTTTTTTAAATCGAGATAGCAAAATGGTATATTTGGCAAAGTTTTGTATAATAGTTATTAAAACAAGCATTCTTGTGGAAGACATCAACTCTCTATCTTTTATAGTTTTTTTTTATGAAGGTTGTAAGGTTTTTGTATGAGGACTTCTAAAAATCAATGTTTTGTTAAACACTTTTCTGGTACCAATTTCCCGTCATAAATTTCTTCTGCAAACTTGTTTGTATCATAAATATTATATTTAAGTATTGGAAAGTAGGTTTCTACCTTTTATATTGCATGAGTTATTTATAGTTATAGGCGTGATCAGAGATGCTATGCCTCTGAACATCCCGGCGGCACCGACTGGGATTGAAGCCAGGCCTGTTGAGGTGAGAGGTGATCACCACTTACCACTACACCACCGGCGCCACTATATATTTGAGGAACGAACAACTTTATCGAAGACCGCAAATCAGTGCGATTACTGTGTAAAATGTATTAACCATTTGGCCAAGTGCTTTTCGCATACCTACAGCCGTTTATCAGATCAGCGAGGTTGCGAGTTTGGGGGCCACAAAATGCTAAATAACTTTCTGCACACACAGTCGAACCACTTTAGGAAACCTGTTTTGTATGGTTTGGCCAATCTCAAATATGGGTGACTTAGTGCAACTTTGAGATTTTTGTGTTAAAAATTCAATATTTTCTATCGGTTTCCCATACATTTTCTTATACTTACACAATTAGTATATCGATGGAGAAAACTATTGAATACTAATGATTATATACAAATGCAGCTAGTTTTGGTTGCCAAATTTCACCCATCTTTGAGTTGTTGGTCTTAGACAAAGTGCTATTTTTGGGCCAAAACCAGGAATACCTCATAAAATATAAAGGATGAAAACAAATACAAAATGACGTAATTATGATTCCAAAAAGTTTCCAAAGGTTTGTTTGACAGAAAAGTGCTACTAGAAAAGTTTTTGACAAAACATTGATTTTTAGGAGCCACTATACAAAAAACTTAAATATTTCAAAAGTTGTACAAAAATGCTTTTTTTTTTAAATATTATCTAAAACTCTGCAGAAGACACAATTTTGCCATCTCAATTTTAAAACAAAAAAAAAACAATTTGAAAAATGATAAAGTTCTAAATTTAACAAATGCGTAGAAATATTTCTAATCGCTTGGTGATAAAATTATTGAAATTGGCCCAGGGACAGCTGAGTTATTAACGTTCAAATTCTTTCATAGTTTTGTTACATGTTCCATTTTCGGTTTTCACAAAGTGTAGCCCCATATAGAAATCACAGACGTAGTCCTACGTCAAAAGATATGTTCAAACGAAGGAGCTAATCATGAAAACAAACTTCTTCAATACTGTATGCCAAAATTTATACGTTTTCACGTAAATAATAAAACGTACGTTTTAGCGCTTTTAAACAACTGTGCACTGTAGGGCTACAAAATGATGGGTTGACAACCTGGAAGGAAAGTGATTCCTAGCTCCGGTTCTCACAAGTTTCTACCTTACGCCTCCACGAGTCATATCCACAAACGACTATCAGCTGAAACATGGACACAGCTGCGTGGCGTAGCCTGGGTAATGTTGTCAATCCGACTACAGCTTTCCCCCGAAGAACGCGTTACCCACTGAGTTGCACCCACCGCTTTTTGTCGGTGGGTTTTCAACCAGTCGGTCTGATTTTTTGGCATGTGAGTAGGATGGAGAACTAGTCACTCGCAAAAAATCAGAGCGCTTGGTTTAAAACCCACCGAGAAAAAGCTGTGGGTGCAACTCAGTGGGTAACACGTTCTTCGGGGGAAAGATGTATAGCAAAGTGAGGAGGTGCGAAGCGAACACTGGCGCGGTAACCATAGCACGGCGGTAGAAGAAATGCTTCTCCTCCGAGCGTCTGTCTACCACGGAGGTGCGGTTCAAAAAGCGTCTGACTTGCATCCAGCGGCTGAATAAGAAATACTCTTCCCCGGAAGCTACACCTAAGATGGTACTCCCATCAGGAGATAGTAGACCTTAGCAGAGGTGGCAACAGTACATTTTTTGAAAAACCATCGTCCAGACCGAAACAAAACAGCCAGCACACGGGCGACCGTTTATAACTACATTCCAAGCGAACAGCGGAGATAGAGAATAAATAAAATCTCGCAGCCTGATTTTTCCAAACTGTTTATTGTAATGAAATTTTAGCTGCAGGCTTGCGTGTGACAGTAAATTACCAACTCCCTTATTTACGCATAATTTTAACATCAATGCTTATGAGTGGTCAGTCTTCATTGTTATCTTTTAATTCCATGCAATAAACATCAAATAAATGCAGTAATTAGCCAGAAATCAGCAAAATTCTACACGACATAAATTTATGTCGCGCGCGCCGCCGGTCTTGTCTGCTTCTTTGTGCGAAAATGTTCTGTCGCTGGCAGAAAACAGTTTAGAAATGTCATGACATTTTTGCCGCTTGCCAGTTTGTTTTTGAATGTCGTCACAATGGTTATCGCAAAAAGTATCAAATGTTAAGGAAAAAATGTTAAACTCCAGGACTTGTGCCACCACTGGACCTTAGGCCAACCACCTACAAGAAGGCTAACAAAAGACTGGAAGGAAGATGGTTATCAGTTAAGTAAATTACTTCATCATCAAAGGTAAGTATATACTTTCACAAAATGATAGCATATGCATATAAAACATTGTATTATTATATAACCCAATAAATGATGGAAAGGGGAGAGACCACCAGGGCACCCAATTGAAGCGATTTGGATGGGAAAAGTGAAATTCTTAACTCCCTGTTGTTAACATCTCGTGGAAAAAGGGCGGGCTCTTCTTCACACTCAATGAGGTATCCTTCTGTTGGACGGTTCGTTTTTTGACCAATAATTGTCTGATAATGTGGCTGGAAGTAGATTCTCTATCAGGTATAGGTGAATTTACCTATCGATCCACCAAAATCGGTTTTTGGCCCTTCATATAGTGACATGTTGAGGACAATCAGAGGTTATTAAGCTTGATCAAATCAAACAGTGAGGAGCGCCCACTTCTATCAGGCTTAGTTTCCGTGCTAAAATGAGTGGTTATCA